ACGTTTCAGACCTGTTTAAAATCGATACTTATGCCAACAAGCAGCCGCCGTATACGTGATTATGGATTGATTAGTTCTCCTCACTTTCGTTTTAGCTCAGAGCGTTGTGCACATGGAATCTTACTAAACATGTCGATTATTATATATTATTCGCCTGACTATAGGCTTACAAGAAGCTTTAAACATTTCTTGGTAGGACAGAAATCGACAATGCGTGTTCCCTCACAAGCAAAGTACAGCTTTAAAATATGTTTGGTTATCTGAATAGAACAAAATTTGCGTGCATAATTCCATGCGATGCTTCCCGTGTATTAAAGGGGAAAAAGTTCTACCCGCAGACATTCGAACAACTTGACAGCAAGTTAACCAGTCCGCCTACTCCAAGTAGCCATGTACTGTCCATCTTCGAAATACTGAGGATTTATACTGGTTATGCAGTTGTTTGCCTCATACAACAATGCTTAGTTTAATTTCCGAGTTGATTAATGCGCGAACTCGGAGCAAATACTTCGAAACAGACCTTTACAAGCACGGTCCGATAGTTGATATGAACATGTGAGCTAAAATCTGTCAGCTGCTGCGGAATAAACGCGTAATATTCATAAACCGCAAGCAGGCGGCAATAAGTGGAGAATTACGTAATTATTTACTGTACTGACAACAGAGGTATTAGCTAAACGCCCAGACACCTGCGAGGCGTTCGGCTCATTAATGGGTCTCCCAGCCTTCCGCGGACCCACGCAGCTGCGTCATACAGCATCCCCATACTACATTGGATACCATATACAAAAATTTCATGGAAAACTGAAGCTTATGCTCTTTGCTATAAATAGGGTGCTTTGCAAGTTGCATCTGTGTTAAATCTAGTGCTCATCTGTTTTCCATACTGGCCAAGCGCAGGTAGGGGTTTTTGTAAAGAGTAGATTATCTGGACAATACTCAGCGTGTGTCACGAATGGAAGAGAATATGCACATCCCAGGTTAGTGTTTAAAAGAAGACGAAGGCATGATCACTGGGACAGCAGATTTATTTGTCTGAGCTTTCGAACTCGAACTGGAGTTCATCATCAGAGACTGCTAGAGTAACAATAACTTGTGAACATTTATATCGCTTTTCCTTGCGAGGGGGAGGAGTACGTCCGTGGCTAGGTAAGGTTTGTGCCGCCTGTCCCACGATGGTCCCCCGACGTGGTGACGCCGTTTGTTCTTTGCGACGGTGTGAGCTGCGCCACCTGGCTGCGTGGGCGGTTCTCAACTATCATAGCAACCACCCATTGGTGCACAAACGGGGCTGCGTGAGAGCGCTTTTTGAACCGGGTAAAAACGCACTGTAGCGAGCCCGAAGGAAGGATGCAAGAACTACGGCATCTCCGGGACCAATTAACAAAGAACGGCTACCCAAATAGTTTTATCAGTCGCTGCATACGCGCGCACCCACGCCGGACAAACGGAAGAGAGACACCAACAATTTGGCACTCCCTACCGTACATAAAGTATGTGTCCGAGGCTACAGAACGCATTGCGTCAGAGCTAGGCGTGGGCATCGCTCATCATCCGGCGGCCATCATGCGTATCAGGATCATGAAAATAAAGGATCGGCTGGACGCAGGTGAAAAGTCGGGCAAAGTCTATCAAATACCGTGCCAAAACTGTCCTTGTCACTACACAGGCCAGAAAGGACGACGTCTCAGCTCGCGAATACTCGAGCACAAACGGGTCGTTCGGAGAGGCAACCCACTATCTCAAGTCATCACTCACACACTGGAGGAAGGCCATGAGTTCGACTTCGCCAACACGCAGATATTAGTGCGAACAGGCAACAAGACGGGGCAAGAACTGTTAGAGTCGTGGATGTTGAACATCAACTCCATCAACAGACACATCGATTTGCCTGCGTGTTATCACGCGCTCCGCCCACGCAGCCAGGTGGCACAGCTCGCACCGTCGCGAAGAACAAACGGCGTCACCACGCCGGGGGACCATCGTGGAACAGGCGGCACAAACCTTACCTAGCCATGGACGTACTCCCCCCTCCCCCTCGCAAGGAACAGCTATATAAATGTTCACAAGTTGTTGCACTCAAGCAGTCGTTGATGATGAACTCCATTTCGAGTTCGAAAGTTCAGACAAATCAACCTACTGTCCCAGTGATCGTGCCTTCGTCTTCTTTTAAACTCCCAGTTTGTCTTTAAATTCATCTGGATACGGCTAGTCACGGTCGGCCTTCGAGAGAATTCTAGTTTAGGCCCTTTTATTGGTAAATCCGCTACTGGATGGTCATTAAACGTTTCTGTGAGCGTTTCTGTGTGACGTTGTTTCCAACAGTTTTAATGAATGTACTCAGTCTCCTTCTATAAGAGACTTCGGAAGAATATTTTTATTCATTATGTCAAAATTTGAACATATTAGGCGTCTGCGTTTTTGATCAATAACGGCGTTTGTTTTTCGGCCACCTTCACCCATCTCAACCGCCAAAATGACCCGATCGATATAAACAAGCAGATGCGCTACCAGCGTTTAAGCTACTGAGCTCTTGGTCGGTAAGTTTTGAACTGCTGTTGAAGCATATTTTGTCCATTAAAGCAAAATGAGCAGATTTCAATTGTTTTAGGGAGGCACACTTGGAAAGGTTTATTCTGACTATTAACTGAATGATTTTGATGATGTTTTTATTAAAGGTTTGCACATATACCGCCTGCTTTTTTGCCCATAATTTGGGGGGTTCCCTAGCCGCAGTTTCCGCAGACTTTTGTTTGAGTGCGTTCTTTAAATGCAATCCAAGCAACCGGAAGCTCACTGAGCCATTTCATGTTTATAAAGAAAAAAAACCCGCGAAGTCTGCCAAGGAAGTGAACAAGGTAAATGTCCATTAAATATAAAGACACGTTCTGTTTCAAGGGAACCGTGGGGCAAGTTTAAGCGAGCTCCAGCAATCAAGCACATCTAACGCTTTCAGAGGAACGCCACATAGGATATCCATAAGATATATTGCACTGGTGTTCAGCATATCGTGTTTCTGTATGCAGGGGGGTGTTAAATAAATGTCATTCACGATGTTGATACTGCAAACAGAAGTTTACGGAGCAAAATGTATTACCGTCAATTATTACTGAATGTCGCATTTCAATAAGCGCAAAAGTGCCCAATTAATGAACCAATCCTCCTTGTTATTGAACGCGACTCAATGGTTGATGAGTTATCACCGCCCATCGTCTGTTTAATATAACACCGGAGAGATATCATTCAATTTTTACAAAATAAACGTGTCTTTGGTTTCCACATATACTCTTTTTTCAAATTTAGTATGTACGATCACATTTCACAAACCAGTTCACAACGATAACATTAAAATGCGGGTTAATAAACGACTTCTTCACAGGAAAACAAAACTTCCTAACAAGATGTTTCAAGATGTAGTAAACACCAATAGAACAGAATAGGGATTCTGCCCAGGTCCCTTAATTTACAGTATTTGAAGTGAGACATCTTTCGAATCAAATATCTGCGAATGTATAGACGGGATTTCCTTAATTACTGGTGACTTAGTAATCTACTCAGAATATATTTAATTGTTTCTCCCTTGATTCTGCAATGAGCGTCACTTCTGACCGGTGCTCATTTATGAGATTAGACCCTCAGATTGTTAACCTCACATGCTTAAAATTTGTCAAACTTTAACTTTTATATTACCGGTAATTTACTAAATTAAAAGGGTAGAGTACACCGTTAGTACAACTAACGCATTAAAATTCATTTGAAATCGCAATTAAATTCGGAGTCATAGCCCGCGCTTACAAACTAGCGGATTTACGATGGTTTTAGTCTGATTTTCAGAAATTCTGACGTCCAACGATTTTTCCAATTTTTCTTGCGAAACCTACAGACTATGAGGATATATCTACAAAATTAAACACTTTAAAGCTTTCGTTTGCTTCCACTCAAGGTTGGTGGTGATCATCGAATAAACACCCAAAATGGTTTTATGCAAATTAGGAAATATCATACTCACTTTCTTTTAATATGCCAAATCGCGGGTGAAAAATTGTAACCAATATTATTTTAAACATCAGATGCAGTATTTTTGTATTGGTTAATTGTCGTAGTGAAGAGCAATAATTTTTTTGTGGTTTTCCTGCCCAATGTCTTAAACGTCATCAGACTCCAAATGTTTTACTTTAAAATTCATATTGACCCAATTGTAAAAAACTCGGCGCCTCGGTGGGATTCCAACCCACGCAGTAAGAAGAAGGCTTTAGCGCAGCCAACGCAGCCTTCCCCTTACTGCGTGGGTTCGAATCCCACCGAGGTGCCGAGTTTTTCACAGTTGGGTCAATATGAATCATTCAATATCTGCCAAAATGTCAACGGATTTACTTTAAAAATCGGATATAATTTTTGGTAGGCTTTCAAACTTCATGAAAAGCTTTTTGTTCTAGCGTATTGCTGTCAACGATAGAGTGGAAACTGAAACTAAATCACAAAGCGATGTCTCAGATTTTGTCGAAAACTCAGCAAGATGGAAGGAATACGTAAACGCTTACGAATGTTTCCCGCGCTTAATTTTCGTTTACTGTTGGTCCACCGAAATCACACCGAATTAAGTATAAAGGCTCTCAATTCGGATGGATCAATACCGCTCCTTGCGTTTAAAAAATTTCCTGCGCTTTCGGAAACTAAAACATGATTTTCGTCAGGAATATTTTGAGATTAAATGCCGGATTACATATGCGCCAAAAAACTCAATACCTTCGTCGACATGCGGGTTTTTAAATAACCAGTGTAATTTGTTTTCGTGGAGCTTTTTACAATTTCACATTTGAGACTCCTTTGTCTAACGAATTAACGAAGCCGTCGCAGTGGAATGCTGTTGTCAAGCAAAGAATGTCAGGAAATCAGTTATTATGGCTCAGTATCCTTGCGGTGTAAATGAAACGAACCCTTAATCAGCATTAATTTGAAGGTAATTTTGGAAGCCAATTTCGATCTCGAGGTACGTACACTTACTGGAATTCCAGACTTTGCTCCTTTGTAGGTTCGGGTTTAACGGCACATCGGAACTTAGCAGAGTTATTTTCGCGGAGAACGCCAGCGTCCAAAAACTGTATGGATACGTTTCGGATAGCTAAATTAAAAACAGTAAGTTGATGCATATGGCAAGTTGTGATCGCTTTAAAAACAAACAAGTGGCTGGAGGACTAGGCTGCGCTTTCATCGAGAATTTTCGAAATATGAACGGCAAAATTGCGATTGTTGTCGAGCAAACCCGTTTTATGCCAAAATATCCAAAACCATTATAATTACACAATTAACGAAATTCAACCAAGGTGCTCTGCAGCACAGATATTATTTATCTTTTAGCAGTTAATTCAAAGTTACATGACATTTTATACATTTAAATACTTGAAAAGGGAATCAAATAGCTGTTTTCAAAATTAGAGTCAACTAGATTTTGGAATTATTTTTTTCGTTTTTAAAAAAACTGAAAAGATTTTTTAGTCGAATCTCAGAGTCGCAGTAAAATACCGAATCAGCAGCACAATGCAGCATCCTTAAAATTAGTAAATCTGTCCAAAAGTCAAGGTATGTCTGCATTAATATCTCTTGCTTCCGTAGTCTTTTTAAGCGAGAGATTGGAGAAACAACGTTTTAAAACAATGTTCTTATATAAAGGCACCAGGTACCTCCACTGGCTGCAATATTTTTCCCTTGAGATGAGAAACAACAACCGAAGGAAAACATGGGGCTTACAGTTAACGGGAACAAAATCTACTGCACACAACAATCAAATTAATCATGGGATTAAATTTATCCCAGATTTGAGACCCAGCAGTGATGAGCTTCTGAGATCACCAAGCAAATTTTTCTCTGCTGAAAAATACGACATACTCCAGCGATTTTACTAAGCCTGATAATTTAATTTTACCGTTTGCATTTTGCGTTAAATAAGTAGATGAGGAACTGTTTGGTCCTTTACCAAGCTATGTTCTATTTTCATTCTTTAATCCTAAGTCCATTTTATTCTAGACAACAGTGAACTCTCTTTGTGTGACTCGGACTTTCAACATTCTAAACCAAACTAGTGTTTATATGAATAATACATCCTTTGTGTTTTAATAGCATTATTTTCCGTATATTTGCATATCGAATGTCAGAACTAGGTTTTAGCTTTGTCATCTAGTTTTTAATTACTTATCGTCATGTTATGCTCCACCTAGAGAAAATGCGATACAAACACAGTTTCTTCTAAAAACTTCTGCCCCCACCGGTCTTGTAATTCGTATCAAAGTTGAGCAGGCCTATAGACGACATTTATGCAGTTGCGTTTTGATCTCACTTAGAAGATAACTATCACCATTTAATCCTGAAATCCTTAATTGCGGTACCGTAAATAATTCAGCAAATTAATATGATAGTAACAGTCGTAATTCTCAGAAGAATGCATTCGAACACAGGTACGCTACTATGAGGAGCCTAATGGTATCCCAAAAACGGCTGGAATTCTTGAAAGTCACAAAGTTAGATAGAGGTTAACAAGCAAATTTGGTTAGTTTTCGCAGGCGCGGCAAAGCTAGTGGAGTGGAAGCAATTTCGATCAGCAAAAAGGGCAGCAGTAACCACGGAAAGATAGCATAAGGGGCATGACGGTAAGACTGGGCCTCCAGCATAATTTAAATTTTCTTTGCACCTTCAGTCTTCGAAAGTAGCCTATGGATCCCATTAAAAAAAAACCAAGAGACATTGAGATCAACCATTTCATTTACCTAAAGTAACTTCTAGAGGCTTCGGTATAGATCCGCTGTTATGCTGATCAAGATCAGCAGAGCGTCATTCTGATCATTAACAGGGTTTTGAGTGAAACTATATTTACAATTCGTTTCGGACAGCAGGGTTTCATATACTCCTCTGGGGTTTGGCCCCGCTAATGTATAAACACTCTGATAGGTGAGGATTTGCTTGATGCTACTCTCGAAAACAAGCGTCCCCTGTAGTTTAGAGAGCTGACATAGGAAAATTCATATGCAAAGTCTGGCCTGAACAAACATTGAAACTGTATTAAAATTAAATGATGTAGCCGACCGCCAAAATTAAACGTACAGGGGTTCTGACGTTCCGCATGACATTGTGGTACAGCGAACCAATTTGTCAGAAATAAAAGTTTGGTCTATTTTATAACTACAGTACGTGGGCTAACTTATGAAATGTCAACCGGAATTCCGAAATGCGTTTTAGTTTCGAAAAGATTAATTAAGTAGGTTTGTAAAACTAATCAGACCGGAGTAACAATCTAAAATAATTCAGTCACCTCAGGATGCCGCCTTTCGAAATAACTTCCTTCATGCCGCATGCAAAAACTGTACTCTGCCAAAAAGAACTATTTATGTAGCATGAATTTTACGCATTGACTTACGATGCCCCTAAAAGTCTAATTACATTATACTAAAACCATGCATAAAAATATGCATTCTTCCGCTCATTCGGTAGAACATTAGGCCTTCTTTCAATTTTATATTCCAAAAAGGGTAATATTTGGTTTTAAAAACTTTTCCAACTTCCGAAAACTCTTGAACTCGTTTTGCCGTCACACTTGCATTCAGGGTTTCTATACTACAAGCCATGCATTTTCCGCGTGCGGAAAAACACACATTTCTCTACGGTATTAAAAGGAGACCATAGAGGGTTCATAAAATATAGCAATGGATTTGATCCATATTGTTAGCTTTACAAGCCACATTGGTAAATGCAGAGACAAGACGTTTTATGAACGAGCATTTCACGGTATTCAAAAGTCTCACAATTAGAAACTTTTTAAGACCGAATAATGTCCCTCTTTCGAGCAAAAATTTGAATGAAGGCGTAAATTTCTACCGAATGGGCGGGTGAATGAATATTGTTATGCATGTTTTCCATGAACTGTGATTGGAATTTTAGCGGCATCGAAAATCAAAGAGAAAAATGCACGTTACATAAGTAGTCCTTCTCTACAGAGTCTAGTTTTTGCATGCAGCCGGGAGGAGGTCCTTTCGAAAGCCGGCATCCTGAGGTAACTTGATTATTATAGAATTATACTGCAGACTGATTATTTTACAACCCTACTTAATTAATCTTTTCGAAACGAAAACGCATTTCATGATTTAGCCCGCCTACTTTAAGTGCAATGATTGCATCATTCATTACGACGCTGTTGTGGCCGGCTTCACTTACATTAACTCGCCGCGACATCCCGTCATCTCAAGCATTCGGGAGGTTTTTAAAGTTCAAGTGGTTTATTTGTAGGTAAACGGCAAACCCACACATCATCATCGTGCAAAAGACGACATCTTCGTGAGATCTATCGAAGGGGATGGATTGGGACCATAGATTTCATATAATATTTTCCTTGTTCAACAGACCATTCATAACGATACATAAAATATAACGTTCAAGCTACAAAACTGGCACTCAATCACCAATGTTTCCGATCCCATTGACTTTCTTCGTCAGCAATGTTTAAAACAGAGCAAACAGCAATTGAAAACGGATTTTTACGAAACAAGCAAATGCCCTACCTATATATCATCACATTTCAAAAGCGGAATTTATTTTGCTATGCATCGAAAGTACCATTATCTAAACTATATATATGTTCTTTTGGGACATTCCATGGGCGCGGTCCAAATTCAAATCAAAACCTTCGACTGTTTACAATCAAATTCAATTGATCCGGCCGCAAGAGACATGGACTGCAAAATATGATGTCAAAAATGAAGAACAGATAAGAAGAATAAGTGAAATCTAAAGCAAAATTCTCAAAAACCTGTGAACCTACTGTGCACTCGAAGTAGAATGAATCTTGAATTTAATCCACAGGTAGTTCTCTGTGTATCATTGTTTTCCGAATGTGCAATTTGTCGAAATGGGCTTTTTAAAAGGAAGTCATCCATGTTTCGAAGGCGACAGCAAACATCCACCTGGTCCAGTGAGGCGGATTGAACAGTAAGGAGAAGCTCTGAAGTGGTGGAAAGTCTACAACCAAGACAATATTACATCTGAATTAACCAAAATCAGGCCTCGTAGTTACTTGGATATGTCGTAAACGTTCTCTTGACTGGTTGGCATTAGCCATGGGGGAAAACCGTATGACTGACGGTAATAGGAAACTTTGCGTTGAAGGTATGGCTGCCAGCGAGCATTCTATACCTCAGCCGACGCTCTTTCAAAGATCATTTGACACCGGAACATTCCCAATCCATTGGAAGTCGGCGTATATAACTCCCCCATACAAGAGCGTTAGCCTGGCGAAGATGACAAATCACAGGTCATAAGTTTGACAGGCATTCTTCGCAAATGTATGGAGATCATGAAGAGCGGATAGATAGCTCCTCGGAGTCCGCGACTTGATATCCAGCTGTCAACATTCGTTCAGGAAAAGACGAAAAATCTGCTGCAATCTCTCCAGGACTGTACCCGAGCTATCGACGACATGCACGCGGTTCGCATCGCCTTCATTGCCTCCAAAATGCCCCGTAACTGTGCCGCACTAAATACTGTCGTGCAGGTTAAAAAGAGTATAAATTAGAAATAACTTCCCGAAGTGGATCAAAAACGTCTTTGTGGGTCGGCGCCAGGTTGTTTACGGCGGTCGATAAAAATAAAAGCCAGCTGCAGTCAAGAGTGGGATTCCCGCGGGCTCTGCCACGGAACTAATTTCGTTCCCAGTATGCACGGATGCCCGCACAAATGATTTAGAATGCAAGGCAGCAATGCTTGCGGGCGGTATGAGGACCTGGAATGTAAGTCGGGGCTTAGACGACAACGATAACCTGCAGATCAACCTAAATCGGTTGGAGTAGTGGTCAGATTTCCGACTCATGCGTTTTACGTTGGTAACTTTACCGGAATTCGCCTAGACTACCCAGACAGCTCTGCAAACAAAATAAACTACTTTCTCGATGATGTAGCATTACAAGACCTGGAGACTCCGAAGAATCTCGGTGGGGTGACGGAAAATTCAGGAGTGGCAAAATCGCAGTCCTCGTACTGAACGTCATCAAGCGAGTATTTATGGATTGTGATGAAGACCATTTCTCTCGGGTATTCAGGATATTTGGGAGGTCGCATTCGGAATGCAGCATATAAGCCTGATGACGGCGGTCGATTCGAGATTTAAGTCCTGAAAGAGTCCAACGGCGAACCACGAAAATGTTTGGACTTCAAAGCTCTTTTCCACTAACAACTTCGCTAACGGATCCGGACCGCTTTCTTATGAGTTATAGACAAATTCGCAGGAATCTCTTATTAGAAATCCTCATTGTGAAGGGATTGGATTCCAACCTGACTTTTAAAGAATTTTTTTGTGTTTGCTACCACGAAAAACACACGAGTTCACCCATTAGAACAGCCCGTTCAGCAGACAGGGCTCGGACTTTGAAATCGATCCTTGGGACTCGTGCCTAATTTCCACAACTTTATGACCTCATTCGAGGTGCTTCAGTCCATGTGGTTCCTCTGTTTACTGCACTCGATTTTACGCTACAAGCGGGACATTCGAACCCACCGCTGTTTCATTTTGAGAGGTTCCCATTCAGGGCTGTTTTTTAATTTTGATCATTCAGTCCTCTTTTGCTCCTGAGTAAGGCCTCGGTTCGTCTGACGAACTGGTTTTTCAAGCCTCATCGTGCGTACGACTTACTTGAATTTGCAAGAAATGTCCAGAATATTTATGAAATAAGTCATGGTGTTTTCGTATTTCACGGGCATTAGCAGCCAAGCAGTATGCAACTGTGTGTGTACAGTTATTTAAAAATGCCTGAGAAGACGCACCCAAGACATCCCAATGCTCTTGTAACACGGTGAATGCTGCTGTAGGCTTTAATTATGTATGCATGGTCCAGAAGATGGACACAAGTGCTCGAGAGGAAATCCCAGTTTTTAGCCGAGATGTCGTTGGATATCCTGCCCCCCAGATTGCCCTCCACCGATTCTTTTCAGCTAAATTCAATTTTCATCAAGATCAGCCCTACTTTGCATAGTAAAACCAAGCGATCGGAATCTCCGTAGTGTATATTTCACTTGCGTATAACAAAACATTTTCAGTCGTACGCACCCTAGTAATTTTCCTAATAGATTACGAGCAGATGAGAACGCAACATTGTAGAAGATGACCGAAATCTGAAAGTAGAGTTTATTCACCAATACTCATTCTAAGATGAGGATTTCAACTATTCAAAATATTGCGTCAAATTTTCACACTTGACATGAAATCAAAGCACTCGCTAGCAGCGGGCAGTTAAAATGCCGTTAATTCTATACTCTTTATGCAGAAGTATCTCGAATTTGTGCTTCAAAAGCAGACCCAAGAATGCAACGCTTTAGAAACACCGCTTGAAATGACCAAAGTAAATATTTTTCTCAATGCAGGTTGGTTGAAAAAAGTTGATTATATTCGAATGTTTATACATGGATGAACGTGCCCTTTTTACTGGCTTTCTAGTGTCGACTTCGAATATTCTTTTGATTGATTACGTATACATAAGATGTGTTTGAAGATCGAGCACGCAGTATCATTACAGTTCTTAGATATGAACCGGAGTCAGTGGTTGTTGCAAAATCCAGCCGACTAGACCTGCATTATCGCTTTGGGGGGAGTAGTTCCACCCAAACTTCGTTTCCATTTGGCGCAGTCTTACTTGTTCCATTATATCATCATAAGTAGAAAAAAGCGTGCTGAGGCAAAAACATATTTAAGTCCAAAGGGGTTACTGAGGGAAAGATGTAAATTACTACATGAATTGTAATTGCTTACAACTTCTCTGAATTATTCGCCATGCCGCATATCTTCACCGTATATGTCCTCAACCGGACGACCACGCCGTGATTCAACTGTCGCGTCATGTCAGTCGCCTGCTCCCGACCGCCGCAGACATGGCCACACTGACAGCTGTCCCCGACGGACCTCAACGGAAACTGGTAAACTGGCAGATCGACCGCCCTGTAGGTGTCGAATTGCGGAACCTCCCCGTTTACTAGCCATTCAAGCTGGGCTTCTGGCAACGAGGGCTCACTGCTGCAAGTGATTCGCACAGGATCGTCAATCTCGATCCAGTTGGTGACCTGCCCACAGCCCTCCTCCTCGTTGGTATTCTCGTCAACTGCCTCCTCTTCATGGCCGCAGTTGTCCGCGGCGTTGGTGAGCAGAGTATCATTTACGGCCAGATGTAGTTCTTTTGGAGGAACTGGGATGTACATAATGCAGTTTTACGTTTAAGATATGGAAAACGTAAGACTTCCGGCGCCACCTTAGGCGTATTTTTCAAAAAATGACATAAGTGGAAAGTCCAGAGGCAAACCAAGCAAAACCCACGATAATTCACTGACTGGTGGCGCGATTTCCATTTTTCGTTTACTACCGCCAGCAGAGATGGTGAACTATCCAGATATCAGAGTGTCTTACTTACAATTGCCGAGTTAAAATTAATCACTGGTTCACAAAAACAGAACTAAGTCGGTCAGGAAAACTTTTTTGCCTCGGGAATATCCATTTCGATGGCAGAAAGTTGACCCTAAAGAGGTTTCTTTCGGATCTTCGCCTAATTAGCCGGCAAAAGAGTTTAACCCACTGAAACTGCATGTGTACAAACCTTAAATCTTAGAAATTTGACCGGTTTGGTTAATAGATATGTATAAGTGATAGTTCAACCGTGGCGTCTGCCGATGTCCATAATGTGCTCCACACCAAGGTGAAGCAGGCACGGTGAATTTGCGTGAGAGTAGACTTGCGCACCATCTCTGCTCCTTCCCACCTGGACCCGGCGTCAAGACATAGTCAAGATGATAAGAGGCGGAAGAGAGTGCAGATGGAGGGCGCGGTCGAGCCCGGACCTTGACGCCCCACTCCAAGCCCTCTGGCTCACACAGCAAGTGACCAGGTTTTTGACCAACAACATCGACAACAGAAAGACGTGGATAGCTGGACGACCATGCACACGACCAGTAAACCAAGCGGGAATGCAAGCACATCTACCGCCGAAGAACCAGGTACTGGAGGCGTACACCGGGCTGCGGGGGCCTTGGTTTGCTGATTATGGCATGGCTGACTCAGTCGCGCGATGAACTGGAAGGGCAATACTCACTGACCCCTTCTTTTTTGTTGTTAACTGGAAAAGTTTGTTGTACGATCATTCTAACGCCGGGCAACTGATATTTACTTTTTGAGAACTTGTCAGTTTCTGTTGAACGAGTATTATGATTAATTTCGGATGGACCTTCCGATCATTGGTACGATCTTTGTTCGGATACCGACAGCGACACAGGAAGCAGTGTTCGTTCACGCTCCCCAGTCGTGGTTAAACTAGTCTGCCAAAACTAAGTTTCAGCACAGAATATGCAGGGAGTGGCCATAGCGCTTGTTAATGAACTGCGTGCCAGTGAACCATGGCTCGAGCAGATTAGGGTTTACGTAAATGCCAGCTCTCGCAACAACACTGACCTCATCAGAGTACTATCATAAGTGCCGCGATATGGAAGCTAGCGGCCCTTCTCCTCACCCCTGCTGTGTACCGGTTCGTCCGCCTTTGGGTATTGTCTTTCGATTTTTCAGACCCATTTGCTTTACTGACATCTTCAAAAGGTCCGATTAATGACTCCAGAGGTTTCCCGCTATGGTGAGGGATCAATCGACCGCGTGAACCACGACTTACACGAACGACTATGATACGGACAACTGGCTCAGTGAGCTATCTGCGCTCTGTTCATTGCTAAAATCCTGCCTGAAAAAAGTAATTGGAAGTATGCATGGATGCTGCTTCCAGTAGCTCTATCGGTGAATCGAACGGCCGAACAGCAATCACGTAAATTACTAATATCGGCTGCCAAATTTTGATATTAAACGACCCGACGACGGACACTCGAGCAATTACCGCATTTACTGTATTCACGGGTGATGAGTGCGGAAATGTTTCAGTAGGAAAGTATGCAGATGTCCGTCAGTTGCATTCTGTAAATACTGTGACCCCTGTGCACTGATCTCGTTTTCGAATTCGTATTAGGTCTATGTAATCCTGATTTTGCAAAAACTCATGACGGATAGGGGAGTTCTTGCTCCTGGTTCTGGAACAAAAAAGACGTTTTTTTAGCCTTTTAATCAGGTGAAGATGTAAACGCCAACCGTACGTGGTTTTGAAGACTCCGCGTTGCTACCGCGACTTTTAGGCTAGTTGAACGGCCATAAACTTCGCATACCTACCGACCAGATAGGGCATAGCTTTACCGAAGTACGGTTGAATTCGGCTGTTGATCAATGGTAAACAAGCTTTGCCTCTTTTGTAGTCTCTCTGGTCACCGTGTATCGATCTTTCCCGATAATGTTGTTATTATGTTTCACCTCCTCCAGGGCATTTACATATACTTACGTGACTTCATCTGAAATCCGCCCATGCGAATGCTTTCGGGGCAAAATTTAAATGTCAATTTTAATAGGAGGGACGACTTTAAAATCACAATTATCTTAGCAGATAACTTCATTTTTTACGAATGAGAGTGTGTGAAACTGGTTTTAGCCATCTCATCAATGTTTTGGGCTGGAAAACGTTACGATTATGGGAGATGTAAGCTGCGTTCTAAACATTACGCCAACGTCAACCGGTTCGAAACTCAGATAATCGCTAATCTACGAAAAACGAGGAGCTACGGCAAAAGGGTTGTGAATATTGTTCAAAAATGACTTTACCGAACTAAAATCAGATTTCAGGAACGAAGCTCACTTAAGTACTATTTAACAGCTTGTATGCCTTTTGGAAAAACTGCTCACAATTACCAATGGGTTTTCGAAAACGCTTTGAAGATAGAAGCTTCTTTCATGACTTGACTTTCGGGCATTTTACCTGTCAAATCAATCCGGCTAATCCTTCAGTCCGGAGGAGTTATTTCTAGAGAAATGTTTTAATTGGGGTCCCAGACAGAAGCATTTTTTTCTTTTTTAACGAATGTTGGGTTGAATTTCACCCTCCAAAGGTACCCACAAGCGCACGCCTGGCATATTTGCGATCGCTTGCCTCGAACCGAGTAGAGACAGTCCCGTAGGACACCAGTGTTGTAAACAAAAAGTAACCCGTTTGTAACATTACGTTATGTTTTATGCAACCGCTGAAGTAATTGCACGCTGTCTATTTTATGTGCATAATGCTGTGATCAAAATAAAGAAAGTCAATCGTGCGAAAACTGGCCACCTTATTTTTTCCAAAGCCCCGTGCACTCGGAATCGAAGCTGAAATAAAAGATTCTACAAAGTATTTAACTGCCTTCATTTACCAGCATAATTCAAACTGCCTACATCCTCCTAACAAAATCCACCTCTTTTTCCTCTAAGAGCTGGTCGACTGACTCGTTCTAACCAAGGGAAATCACGGAAATCTACCCGACACTCAAAATAATGATTTATGTGCTCATGAGATAAAGATACATATGCAGCCCCTAATTCAATCGTTTGTGCGTCCTAATCTAGGTTATTCATTTGATGAAATTTTGAGGAAACGGCAATTAAGATGAGTTATTTCTTCATTTTATTGCAAACTTAAAATAGAAGATTCAGAAGGCATCTTAATAAAAACTAATCTAAAAATGAAAAGATAGTTCCAATTTGTCAACTTTAAACTTCCTGTGTGAAAGAGATACCCAAAAAATGTATATGAATTGAGATCACTTACAAAGGCATCAAACAGCTGAAATATTTTTGTAAAGGGGCTTATTGGGTGAAGTGCAAGATTGCGATAAACAGATGGCAAGGTTGGGGCCTATAAAGAAAACCAGGATTTGACATAATAGCGAAAATTCCTATAAAAAAATTAAGACCGCTTGGCGAGCGTATATGCGCCTTCAAGTGAGCAAAGAAAGCGAAAACCCCTCCAGATGGAGTTAACAAAATGCAAAATCAAAAGCACAAACAATGTTCTTTTCGTATACACCGTTGATTCCTGGTGTCGTGCGGACCTTAACGCAACCTTCCATGTGATTTAAAAGGTCCTACCGAATTGTCCTAGGTCACTGAGTCAGTCACTGTATTATTCGGTTACAAAAGAATGTCATGTGAGCATAGAAGGAGCTTGTACAAGTCCTTCGCCTACCGTGGCCATATTCCTGTTAACTGCATGCATCTACCCCCCCCCTACTCACTGCTTCCTAACTCACAGTCTCCTTACCCTTCCCCTGTTCCCATGTCACACTAATATCAAAAGACGAGCTGTGACCAACTTATGATAGTTTTGTCCAATTCATATTTAAGTGCACTGGTGCAGTGATAATTTATCGAAATCATGCGTCTGCTCAATAAAAACGAACAGGCGACTTCCGGGAAGCAATTCAGGAGGAGAAAAAAGGGCGATTACTGGAACACGAAATTTATTGGTCTGAAGTTTCGGATTCTCACTCGAGCCCATTATCCGAGGCAGTCGCAAATAAGGGTAACGACGGAACAAGGAGTGCGGTAATTGTAGCACGTAGCTGCCCTTGCACCAAATGTGTACTTTAATTAGCAGCTCTCGCAATCACCAATAGGGTCGTAGTGGGTATGATGATGACAATTATCTGCGACTGTCTCTGGTGGTGAATTAGATTGTGAACATAAGACACCAGACCAATAAATTTCTTGTTCCAGTGATCGCATTTTCGTCTTCTTAAGGCTTGTCAGCCTGTGTCCAATTTGTTGATTACCACGGTTTCGTCATCCGTGTTGGATGCTCGTGTGGCGATTGCTAAGAAAATTGGCTCAGCCATTGAAATAATTGCTCGCCCGCGGTCTACCCACGTGACTGGTTTCCCTTTCCAGGGAAATCTCAGCGCAGAACACGGTAACGGGAGGCCATCGCACCATGACTCGAGCAGCTCGCGGCTCACGCGGTCCCCACCCTTTGAGAGGATTTCGGCCTCTCGAAACTCGAAAATATGGCCGGGTCGTGTCGAATAAGCCGCCACCCGAGAGGTATCGTCTCCCCGCCTCACCGCCGCTGCGAGCTCGACCAGTCTCATCGGAGTAATCTCCCGGTTTCTCCGAACTATTTTCATTCTCTGCAGCTGTACCAGATCCGGTAAACTATTTCAGACGTTTTCTCTCGTGGCAGTGGGTCTTTCGACCTCATGACTTTGGCGCCTAATGGTTGCCTCTGACCTGTGTGAAACCCTAACCCAAGTGCAGTGAGAAGACGACTGACGGCCTCCGAGACGTTCTTCACGTACGGAAGATCCAGCCAGAATTT